GATTACGGCACTGCTTGACGCTTGGAAGTGTTTTGAGCTGATTTTGCGCGACGCTCTTTTCCAAGAAGCTCGTCTGGTCGGATATGATCTTAGGCTACTTTGGATGTTGTGCCAGTGCTATTCACTTCCTCGACGGCTGCAGGCGTTTGGATCGGTCAGCTTCGCCGTGAATGTGTTTCAGGGCATCTTGGCGGGCTGTTCTCATGCTTGTGGTCTTATGTCTGTACTCTTGCTCAGGCTGCTGGATAAGATCCGAAGGCCAGGGGTAGTACCGCGGGCGCTGATCGATGACATTTCGTTGCAGTGGACCGGTGTGCACTTATCTCAGATGTGTACCTTGTGGACAGCGGTGTCGGAGTTTAAAGCGGGTTCTGCTTTGCTGGGCCTGGTTATTCAACCAGAGAAGTCAGGATTCGTGGCGTCGTCTTCGAAGGTTGTTAAGGTTGCCAGGAAGCACCCAGGTGCCAGCGGACTTCGAGCCTGTAAGTGGATTCGGAATCTTGGGCATGATCATCACGGAGCAAGGGTTTCGCGTAAGCAGACGGTGGCGCGTATGAAAGGCTTGGCTGCTCGTCGTGGACGGTTGATGTTGTTCAAGCGCACTGTGGGGCACAAGGTCGGTTGCCTTTGGAAAACGGGTCTTCTTCCATCGGCAGCTCGTGGTGCTGGCGTGTCAGGCTTGACCGAGGAGGTGCTGAACAAGTTGCGATCCACGGCCGGTTTGCTTGTTGGAGCTCGTTCGGGTTCTTCCTCGCTTACGTTGTATTTAGCCACGCAGAGATCGGCGGAGTATGATCCTATTTACTCAGCGACGTGTGATCTGGTGGTGCGTTACGCTTCATGGATCTGGGAGGCTCGTACTTCGCTTTCTCGGTTGCATCATGCGTGGGTTGAGATCACCACTCTCTTGTTCAAAGAGCAGTCGTGGAAGTACGCTAAAGGACCTATTGGTGCTGTGACGCTCTCGTTATGGAGGATCGGTTGGGCAATGCATTCGTCCACGGTTCTCATCACGGACAAGAATGAATATGTTTCTCTGCTTGCGGTCTCACCTAAGGATGTGCGGAAGCTCTTGTGTCAGGGCATCGCTCGTTGGCAAGGTGAGCGTATTATTCAGAAGTTTGAGCATCAGTTTGACCAACCTCAGCTTTGGATGCGAGCCCTTAGGGCTTGTGTGGGTGGCAGGAATGCGTCTGTTACTCATCGGTCTTCGGCATCTTCGTTGCGTGCTCATTGGGCAAGGGTGCATTGGACGCAGGAGTTGAGGTACTCGGTTGGGCTTGCGCCTTCCCCGAAGTGTTTGAAATGTGGTGCTGATTTTGACACTCCAGGTCATCGTTTTTATGGGTGTGATCGTTTGTTGGACCCTGTCGGTGAAACTGAGGAAACCGACGGTGTGGTTCCTGAGGCGTTGCAGGTTACTAGGCAATACATGTATGATCAGGGGCTCACGGTGCTGGGCAATCCATCCCGGGATGATTTCTCTCTCAGTACTGCGTTACCTTGCATGCCGCCGTCGGTGTCAGGCCCATCAGCGCAGACGTCTTACCAGCTCTGGGGGGATTGGAACTCGAAGGATGCTGACCATCCGTGGAGCAATATCATTTTCTCGGACGGGTCTGGATTTGCTTCTGCGGTGCCAGAGCTCATGCGATGTGGTTGGGCATTCGTCATGCTCAGTCAGGCAGGCCTTCCTATTCGTGCTGCCTATGGGGCGCTTCCTGGTGCACTGCAATCCGTTGGGAGGGCCGAGCGCTATGCCGTTTACATGGCGTTCAAGTTGCTCAGTGAGTTTGACTTTGTGTGCACCGACCTGTTGGCGCTGAGAGATGAAGGCAATTCTTGGGACATTGACCTGGACTCGGCGAAGGGCACGCATGCGACTATTTGGCGTCAGATTAAGTCTGCTGCTGGAGCTCGTCGGCCCAACTTTGTCTGGGTGCCCTCGCACAAGTCGCTAGAGGAGTACGCGCAGATGTGTATTCCTCCGCTTTTCTTTCTTGGCAATGCCTGGGCGGACTGGTTTGCTCGTGCTGGAGCTGCTGAGCATAAAGTAAGCCAGGTGCACGAGGACTTCTACATGATGGAATATCGGCAGCATCAGAAGGTGGCGCAGTACATGGCTTGGGCGATGAGGCGCATGCTTTCTGTTGGCGGCTGGGACCCTGACCAAGCGTATGTTCCTGTTCGTGCTCCTGATTGGCCGCAACCTCAGTTGACGGTAGTTGAGCACCAGTTAGTGCGCCTGGACACTGGAGTTATTTTGTGCAGGGCCTGTTGTCGCACTACATCGGTGGCAGGTGGTCCCACTCTGGCTCAGTTCTTGCGGTCGGAGTGCAAGCCCAACTTCATTGATCGTATTCGTGCGGAGGCCCACATTCATAAGTATGGAGCCCGTGCCTTGCCTTCGTCTGCTGCTGTTCTTTTGGCTATGGAGGCCACGGACAGGTTTGAGTCGCAGGAGGAGGAGCCGCTTCCACGCTGCGAGGGCGTCGTGTCTTCCACGTGGCAGGCCGAGACTGTTATCGAGCATGATGGTCACCGACTGCGGCGTGCGGGTGCTACGATCTTCTGTGAGCGATGTGTTTCTTGGTCGGGTGCTGGATACTCGGCGGCGTTACACAAGGCTTGTGAAGGTTATCCGACTGGAGAAGGCAAGGCCTCGACCTACCTGTCCAATATTCGCGGTCGGTTACGTCAATTGATGGTTTCGCGACATCCCAAGACCAAGGAGCCTCTCTAATCTTTCTCGTGGTTGGGATGTTGCTCGGGGTATGGTCTGAAGTGCTGCAAACTCACCAGCCAGGCTATGCCGAAGGTGTGACAACTGATACGGTGAGCCTGTTCCTCTTGTTGCTGTGCTTCTACTTCGCACTATTAGGCTGTTGCCTGCACTGTATTGGTGCCCGCGGCACTCGCCGGCCAGGCGTAGCCGAAGGTGTGACATCTGATACGGTGCTGCTGTTCTTCCTTTTGCTGTGCTTGTTGTTGCACTATGAGGCTGTTGCCTGCACGCGTGTGCCCGCGGCACTCACCAGCCAGGCTTGGCCGCAGGTGTGACAGCTGTTACTTTGCACGTTCTTTGTGTTCAGGGACCTCATTGGCAGCCTGAACTTGAGCTTGGGCATGGCTGTGTGCATCCTCGAGCTCTTGTTTCTTTGTGCCGTTGGTGTTTGATCGCGGTACTATTTGTACTATTTCAGCTATTGGTTCAATGGCTATTCCCCCGCCGTCGCGGGGGTATTTTGCTGCCAGTCCTGGCTGGTAGAGGGCTGGGGGAGGTCCCCGCGAGTCCACCTTTGTTTTGGAATGGTGGAGTCGCTCTATACTGTTCCTCTTCTTCAGGCAGGTCTCGTTCGAGGCCTGAGGTGGGGCCGCCCTGGCCCCCAGCTTTGCCGCCGCGTGTTCGGGCCTCGGACGCGCGCGCCACGCCTCGTACCCTCGTACCCTCCTCCTCCTCCTCCTCCTCCTCCTCCGCCTCGTCCTCCTCTCCTCTCTCCTCCTTCTCCTTCTCCTCCTCCTCCTCCTCCTCCTCCATCCTCCTCCTCCTCCTCCCTCCTTCCTCCTTCCTCCTTCCTCCTTCCTCCTTCCTCCTTCCTCCTTCCTTCTCCTCCTCCTCCTCCTCCTCCTCCTCCTCCTCCTCCTCTTCCTCCTCCTGGGCCCTTCTCTCCTCGTGGGCAAGACCCAGGCCCACGCCACCTTCGCCGGGATCCAGATGACCCGGGCCGATGTCGGCGTCCTGCGCGGCGTCGACATGCGTTCCTCCTCATCCTCCTCCTCCTCCTCCTCCTCCTCTCATCCTCCTCCTGCTCCTCCTCCTCCTCCCTCCTCCTCCTCCTCCTCCTCCCTCCTCCTTCCTCTCATCCTCCTCCTCTGAATCACAGACTCCTCCTCCCTCTCCTCCTCTTCTCCTCCTCCTCCTCCCCCTCCTCTTCCTCTCTCTTCCTTCCCTCCTCCTCCTCCTCTCCTGCGGCTCCTCCTCCTCCTCCTCCTCACTGCATGCCTCCTCCTCCTCCGCGTGCGCATTGGGCCCCTCTCGCTTTTTTTTTTTTTTTTTTTCCCGCCGTGGCCCTCCTGGAATTCGGCGTCGGCCAGGGCCGCCGCGCGGGCGTCCACCTCTTCGGGGCCCTCATCCGTGGACTCCTCGATTGCTGCGCAGGGTCGGCCGCGCCAGTTCCCTTGGGCCCGCCGGGCTCGCGGGCCGCCGCCTTTTGCTTCTGGTTGCTCCAATTTGTTGACGACTCGTTCGCGCTGCAGGCGTCGGAGGCAGGCGGCGTTGCCGCAGTGGCTAGAGGGCTCTCGGCCTTCTGCGCGCGGTACCGCCACGCCTTCCAGGGCGGGCCCGCCAAGGGGCCGGCGGTGATGGCGGTAGGCGACCCCCCGCCGGATGTCGCGGCGTGCGGCCAGGTTGCAGGCTGGGACGTCCGCGCCGCGACTTCCCTGTCATGCCTTGGCGTGCCGATCGATGCTCAGCTCACCCTCGTCCTCCTGCTGGACCGGGCCTGCGCGCGGATTCGCGACGGCGCGAAGAAGCTCTTCGCGAGCATGGCGGAATGGGGCTTCGGGCTGCCCGCGCAGGCGTGCCAGCTTCCGGCGCGGGTGGAGGCCTCGGCCCTCCACGGCGCCGAGCTTCTGGCGAGTTGCGCTTTGGGCTGGCTGGCGGTGCGCGCCCGGCTGAACCGGGTCCAACTATTACGACGTCGCAAAGGCGCTGCAGACGGGATCCACTGGCCCAGTGTCCTTGGGGCCAGGCGGGCACGTGCGCGCCTTCCTGGAGGTGCGCTTCCTCACGAGGCTGGGCACCAAGGTCACCCGTCGCGTGATCATGGCGAGGGCTCGCCCAGGCTGGCGGAGAGGCCACGTGGATGGAGCACGCGGAAGCCGTGGCGAGCGAGGTGGGTATCTCGGCGTGGCCGACAGCCGCCCCCGCTGCGACGCCCGGCCAGCGCCGCCGCGCAGCCGCCGCCTGGGGCCGCGCCGTCGTCGATCCCCGCTTGGAGGCGATGGAGTCGGATTGGTCTGCGGCGCAGGTAGGCCGGCTCGCGAACGACGGCCTCGTGTCTCTCGGGGACATCCTTCCGCTGCGGCAGCCGTGGTCGCAGGAGTGGCTCCAGGCGCGGTGGGGGCCTACCACGTGGCGTTTCCACAGGGCGTGGTGCACGGCGAGGGTCGCGCTGTGCATCCCAAGCGCGGTCGCCGACATCGTCTCGGTCGAGCCCTGCCCCCTCTGTGGCGGCTTCACGACGACCCTCGCGCACCTGGTGGAGGCATGCGCGGCGTTTGCTGGCGGAGGCTGCCCCGTGGGGCCCCGCAGGTGCTCCCGTGCTGGGCTGGGCCCTGGCCCCTGACGGGGACCTGGATGTCCTCGCGGCCCGGGTGCGGCTGGTCGGGGCTGCCGCTAGGGCTTACGTCAGCGCGCGCGTGCGGCCGCGCGCGGGCTGAAAACATGAGGCGGCAGGCCCTTCGGGGAGGATGCGGGTGGCGGGAGGCGCGGGCACCGTCCCTGCCCTCCAACCCGGTCCGCGCGCGTCCTCGCCGGTGCACGCCCCGCCCGCGCAAGCGGTGGCCGGGTTTTCGCCCGGCGCTGCCACGCTTGCGCAGGTGGGCGCGTTGCGCCAGCGACGGCAGGCGCGGCGGGGATGCAGGGGAGTCGCGATGCACGCTTGCGATGGGGGGGGAACCCGTCACTGGGTATGGCCCGGGTGGGCTGACCGCGCGAAACATTTCAGCCAGTTCGTGGCTCGTGTTGGCTGAAACTCGAGCGGGCCTCGGGCGGGGTGGCCCCACCCCAGTTTTTCAGCCAATTTGGGCCGCGTCTTGGCTGAAATTCCGGGCATCCTTCGACCTCCCGCAAGCGACCTCTCCTGCGAGCATGGGGCGCCCAGGCTGGCCACCCTTCCTTCGCACCGCTCTGTCCTCTGCGGGCTCCTCATCCACCCTTCCTTCCTCGGGCCCTCTCCCCCGTCCCCCCCCCCGCGTGGCCGGACGGGGGCCTGGGCCCGGCCCCACCAGGGTGGCGCACCGAAGGCCCGAGGGCGGAGCTCGCCCACTTAGGTGTTTTTTTGTTTTTACCCTCGGGGTATTTGCCTCTCTCCGGGGGTGGGCTTAGTGAGATGTTGTTTCTCCTCCTCCTCCTCCTTTTCCTCCTCCTCCTCCTCCCAGACCCTGCGTGTCCCACGCAGCTGCTCCTGCTGTGCTGGCCTCCTCCATGCGTTCTCGTTCCCCGGCGGCCTCGAGGAGACCGCTGCCGCCGCCGCAGGCGGAGGCGTCGAGCCGGAGGGAGGGGGTGGCAGCGCTGCGGCGTGGGGGCCCTTCCTTCGTCGAACCTGCTCCTTCATCTGGTGCCGATCTGCAGTGGACACCGTCTCAACCGCATCACCGGCGACGCCATGGAGGACAGCGAAAGACAAGGGCGCCTTCGAGGGCGCGAAGTCATTCGCGCTTCGCGCTTCGCGGTTCGGCTCCGATTCCTCCTCGCCCTCCTCTTCTCCCCTGGGAGGCGGCGCGAGAGCGCGAAGTTGTTCGCACTTCGCGCTTCGCGCAGCGCGAAGCGCGAAGTTGGGAGTCCTTGGAAAACGATGGTTCGAGGCCGTGGACAATGACAATTACCGCTTGACCTGAGGGCCGAGGCCCCGCCGCGCCGCCCCGTTCAGGGCCGGATCCCCGGATCCGATGGCAGCGCGCTCCTCCGATTGCTGACCCCCCGACATCTCACATGGCAGCCCCACGCCATGACAGGTGCACACCGCAGCAGGCCGTACGCCTGTATTGGCTAAATGGGGCATCACACAATCGAACGTCTCGGGCGACTCATCCGCCGCAGGCTGCATAGGAAACACTGCAGAAGCCGGCCACCCAGGCGGCACTGTTGACAGAGCGTGTGACTCAAGTTACTTCCACTATCGATCGTGCTTCACGTATCAGTCTGGATTTACTGGGTCACGGTCTGATGTGGATGTAGCGTTCCCAAGTTCGAATTGGCAGAGGTGGTTGCCAAACATGCGGCGGACACATGCCAACCATCATTTCAGGTGCAATCGGAAGGTATGTTGTACCCCTCCACATAAGGTGGGCCTTCTCAACCCTCACCAGCACCGACTTGCAAGCGTGGGTGAGCCCAAGTGTCCCACCCGATACGTAGAGGGTTATGCCTACCCTTCAGGGCCGCTGCACTACAATCCTCGCCCTCCCCCTGCGTCCTCCGTCCTTGGTCATCCTCTTCCTCATCACGCCTCCTTCCCTCTTCCCTGTGGCTGCCACAGCCATCCTGGCGAATGCCAGGCTCAACCCTGATGGGACGAGCAACGGTGGACGGGCGGGACCGCCTTCGAGGGGATCCTTCGCAGACCATGCGTTCGCGCGCTGAGCGCACTCCCGCTGGCCACAGGGGGATAAAACGACGCGAAGATCGGGACAAAATCGGATCGGGATAACCCGAAATCTCTGAGAATCGGCGGGTTTGGAGGATGTATTGGGCGCCGCGGCCGCTCCAGAGCGTTCCGGAACGCTCTGAGAGCGCTCCGGAACGCTCTGGACCGATTTATCCAGACCCTAGCCTTGTTTTACGCTGGCCACAGGGGGAAGGCGGCTGCTGAAGCCGTCGTCGCCAAGCCGACGGCGGAGCTCGCGAAGCGTTCTGGTGAGGTGGCCGCTCTCCAACAGGAACTGTACGACCTGAGCGCGGCCGTCGGCGATTCCAAGCTGGTGCAGCGGCTACGGCTTGGTCGCGCTTAAGCGTGCTGGCGGCCAAGCTCGATGGCAGGGCAATCGAGGGTGTGAAGGTCACCAGGTGCAGCGCGGCAGCCCACAACTCCGAGGTCCCCAGACCCCCGACGTAATGAATTCTAGACGCTTCGCGTATCCCCACCAGCCTGCTGGGTCCAGTCCTGACCGTTGGGCCACTGGGCTCAGGCGCATCTCCAGTGGAAGATCTTTACCTGCCCGCGGGGCTACTGCCCCTTCCACGGGTGTGCCTCTGATGCTGCGACGGTTCGCTGGCGCTGTCAGAGTACCTACCTGCAGGACCGCGTCTCCAGCTTTGTCTGCTCATACCCGTCAGACTCCCTGGATTGACTTTCCTGCTTGGATTTCGTTCCCTACCACTGTCGTTTTGTTACGATCACGGCGGGAGCGTCTTCGCGCCATTTTGGCGGCGTCTTAATTCTCGGTGGTAGACAGACTCCCTGGGTTTGCCACTTGCACGTTCCTGGGCGGTCCTTGCAGACTCCCTGGATTGCACGCTCGCCTGGCTTCTCAGACGCCCTGGGCGCTGGCCCCCCCCGCCGCCTGATCCGCGGCCCCCGCGCGCGCTCGGGATTTAGTCGCGGCCGCAGCCCGACCGTGACCGCCCGCCGTCGGCGCTTTCGCCTGCGGCTGTAAAAAAAAAAGTATCCCCACCAGCCCGTCCAGAAACGACGCCCAGGCGAGTAGAGGGTCGTCCTGAGGGGCTTTTCGGCGTCTTGGGTGCCTCGGGGGGCCTCTGTGGGCCGTTCGGGATCCTCTTTGGGGCCTCCTGGGGGCCTCTTGGGGCCTCTTGGGGCCATCTTGGGGCCTTTGGGGGCCTCCTGGGCGCTTCTTGGGGCCATCTTTGTCCCTTGGGTGCCTCTGGGGGGTCTCTTGGGGCCTCTTGGGGGTCTCTTGGGGGCCTCCTGGGGGCCTCTTGGGGGGCCTCTTGGGGCCATCTTGGGGCCATCCTGCGGCCTCTTGGAACATCCTGGGGGCCTCTTGCGGCCATCGTGGAGGAAATCGGCCAAGGAAGTAGGGTTCCTTAATTAGAGCCCCCCCCCAGGAGCTCCAAAAATCGCTTCCTGGACCCCTCTTAGATCGCTCTTGGAGCGCTCGTGGCCGCTCTTGGAGCCATCCTGAGGCTCTCTTGGGCCCTTCTTGCAGCTATCTTGAGCCATCTTGGAGCCATCTTGACGCCTCGGATGTGCATCGCAAGCGAAAAAGTGAGAACACCAAAAACATTGATTTTCCGTAGGGTTTTGAAGCATGTTGGCCTCTTGGATGCATCCTAATGATGCTCTTGTGGGCACTTGGAACCGTCTTGGAGAGTTCTTGGAACGTCTTGGAATATCATGGGGACCATCTTGAGGCATCTTGCGCTATCTTGAGCCATCTTGGAGGGTATCTTGGGCTCCCTGAGGCCCTCTTGGAGCCGTCTTGGGCCATCTTGGGCGCCCCAACGCGCCGCGGAACCCCCTGTCCAGGTCAGTGGGGAGGGGGTAGGGGGAGGGGTAAACCCCTCCCCGAAGGGGAAGAAGGAAGGGTGGAAGAGGAAACGCTCTAAACCACCGACGCCCAGAGGGCTGGTGGGATTTTTCATTACGTCGACCCCAGAGTTCTCGACCCCTTCCCCAGGACCGGTTTGTCATCCTGAGTCGTTTTTTGACGCTCGGCCCCGAGAGGCCGAAAATGGCGAAAAACCTCCCGTCATGATTTTTTCATTACTCGAGGGGGTCTGGGTCCCAGCCAGTCGGTCAGCGACTGCTTCCCAAGGGGGAGCTGGGCCAGGATCCGGCGCGACGGCTCGACCACGGCGAGGCAGCCCTGCGGGCAGGCGAGAGGCCCCGAGGCCGCGAGCTCCTCGAGGGCACCGCCGAGCCCTGCGGGGCCGCGGCCGTGGTGCGCGGCGCTGCCGTCGAGGGCTGCGCCTGCGACGCTCCTCGCTCCCTCGGTCCGCGTCGCCGCTCGCGCCGCGCGCAGCTGCGCGCCCCTGGGAGGCGCGAGGGGGGGCGGACGTCGGCGCGCTGCTCGCGGGCCCGCCGGTGCGGGCGCCGCGGGGCGCGTCCCAGGAGCGCACCGGCGTGGAGTCTCTGCGCCGGGCGTGCCGCGGGAGCCCCCTGCCCTATCCCGGGTACACCCCGGTGGCGGGAGGCTCGCTGCAGGCCCCAGCCTCCTCGTCCTCCTCGTCCTCGTCCTCCTCCTCCTCCTCCTCCTCCTCCTCCTCCTCCTCCTCCTCCTCCCTTCGCGTCCTCCTCCCTTCTACCTCCTCCCTGCTCCTCCTCTTCCTCCTCCTCCTCCTCCTCCTCCTCCTCCTCCTCCTCCTCCTCCTCCTATTCCTCGGCCTCCCAGGCTGCGGTCGTGACTGGTCCCCGGCGTGGACCTGCTGCAGCTCGAGGTGGCCGCGGATCTGCCGCACGGGGGCAGTTTCTGCAGAGCGACCTCGGCTCCCCCCGGGCTTTTGCGTCCGAAGCGGCCCAGCTGACTCAAGCATTGGCGAAGCGTCCTGGCGTGCCCATAGGCCTACCCAAGAATGTTCTAAGAACCTTTCTCGTGGCTTCCACGGAATGGTCTTTGAGCATTTCTGGCTGGGACCGTCGTGTGTTCACACATCGGGCTTGAGTTCTGAGAGCAGTGTTTTTGTGATTCGAACACGTTTGGGTTCTGAGAACACTTCGTGGTGGGACCATAGTCAGGAGGGAAA